TTGCATTCAATTTGCACTTCTTCCCCTCCCAGACTTTATAATTTTATTATAACACAAAGAACTGGATTGAAGGATTCACTTTTAGTTAGAGCTGTATCTCCTGAATCCCTCTTTAGCATTGAGTAATTAATAAATGTTTAAGGAAAAAACTACTTTATGTAGGAATAGAAAATAATATACAAACGTTTAACATTTTACTTTGTTTTAATATATAATAAGCTAATAAAAACTGAGAATATTAAACTAGAGCTCACTGCTTCATAAATGTGTGCTATTGCAGTCATTTTAATAGTCCCTAAAATAGCATGAATATTGTACCTTGCTACTCTTTCCATACAATAATTGGCTGCATAAAGAATGCAGAATTGTAATCCCTTGATTCCTGATGGTGGTGCTCATTATCTATATTTTCTATTTTGCCCTACCAATATCCTTGGTGGTCCCTTGGTCTTTGTGAGTGACTATAGCAAAAAAAAAACAAACAAAAAAACAACAACACCTGGCTTAACTTAACTGCATAGGATATCTCATGACCTTCTACTGCAACTGCTCAACATGCTGGGACGCAACTCTTGGTTGTACAACAAAATGTTTGCTATTGTCTTGCTACACTTGTTGGGGCTGCATCTCTACAATCCTATATAGAAAAGCCTAAAGATACTTCTTCATATGTGCTGTAGATTCCATTTCAGTGTATGATTATATTGCCTCAGTTTTCGGTCTCTTGAGGGTTAGTTTGTTCTTTTTAGAACAACCCCTTAAGGCTTAGAGCATTAGTCCTGCCTTGGGCATGAAGACAACTGCGTGATCTTTCTGTCACAGCCCTAAAAAGTAGCAAACCATGTCTGAAAATGTTGCCATGAAAACTGCAGGAACTTGTCCCTGCAGTCCTTAAAAGTCAAGACTGACTTGAAGAAGCATGTGAGTGTATGTATATGTATGTGTGTGTGTATATACATACACACACACATACACACACACGCACTTTACAGACTTATCTTTTTGGAAAAAAGAAGAATGCTGTTGATCTTTCCTCCATCTTTTCTCCATACATTTCACACTTTTCAGTGGATTGGCTCAGTGGTGCATTCCTGTCCATGGAGCATTCATGTCCATGGAGATTCTGTCCATGGAGATTCTGTCATTCAGGTCATGGTTGTCCCAAAGTGCTTTTTCAAGAGGTAATTGGACTTTCTGGTTTTTCTTTGAAGAC